TTTTTATTATGACCTTTTGTTAATTATTTTGGAAATCAACATCATTATTATTCCAAAAATAAGACTTAAACAAAATTTAGGTTAAGTAATACATTTCATATTTTCATTTGATTGAACAATATTTATAGTGTTCAAAATTTCTTAATATTCAAATCAAAAGACTAAATATAGTTTCCTTCTTTCAAAAACATAAAAAGGTATAATTATCTTAAGAAATACTTAAAGTTGCAACTAAAACATCGAAAATAGATTTCTCTAACTGTTTTTAGATCACTTTTTAATAAATTATTTAATATAGGTGTAAGATTATATAAATAAATATTAACTATTTTGATTTTAGTGGTGGTGGATTTTATGATGATTAAGGATATTTTAAGAAGGGTAAATGGATTGAGTTAAGTGATAAATTTGATTATTATTCCTAAGTTACTTATAAGGGTTAGTATAAAAATAATAAAAAAATTGGAAGTTGGGTTATTTTATGGAATTGGAAAGATATAAATTAATAGATGTAAAATTTTATTTTTTATAAAACATATACAGAGGAAATGGATTATATGATGATTAAGTAGAAGGAGATAGTTCAATTAAGGTTGGAATTTGGATTGAGCAGAGTGATGAGTTTGATAGATGGTCGTAAATAGTCAATAAAGGTGAATATAAAAATGGTAGAAAAATTGGTAAATGGGTAGAAATAAATATAAAGTAAAATATAATATGTGGTGAGTTGAATTATGATAATTGAACATTAATATTAATAAAAAAAATTAAGTTATTAATTTTAATTATAATTATAAATCAATTTGAAAATATCTAAACTAATTATTTTAAATATTTTAATTATTAATAATAGAATATTTAACAGAATCAAGAATAAATTCTTTAAGAAGTTTTCATTCAGTAAGGATTCACTTATTGAACAATAATTAAATCAAATTTTCGAATTGTGTAAAATCATTGAGATTTATGAATAAAACTTAAAGATCATCTAAATTAATCAAAAAGATTTTTTAACTGTCTTCCATAAGATATATATTTAGAAGCTATCCTCTTTTATTAATATTACTAATACCTAAATAGAATTTAAAATGAAGTCATTAATGAATAATACAATCTTATTATTGATTGTAAAATTATTTTTTTAAACAGAATCTATCACTTAACACTTATTTCCTTTTACTAGTTTTTAAAAGCCCCAAATTTTATACTCCAATCTATTTCAAAGATTACAAGACATCACTGTAATCAATACTTTTAGGTGTATTCTCCAGTATCAACTTTTATTCAAGACAAAATATTTAGTTTAATTGTTATTATCAAATCTCATTTCTTTAGTTATAATCTTTTAATTTATCAAAAACTTACTTAAAAATAAGAAATTTAATATAAATTACTTCTGTAATGAATCTCTAAATATTTGGGCAATTACTTTTTGATTGGGCAATAAGCAAATATGACATTAATCAAAAATTATTTGAATAATCTTTGAGAAATTATTGATAAAAATTCGTTTCTATATCAATATTAAGGACATGATTTAATCTCTCAGGGCTGCATTAATCATGATCTTTTGGGCACTCAATTTTTGGATAAGCCTAGTTTTTATTCCAAAATCAAGATATTAAATAAGCAGAAGTTAGATAAAACTCTTTGCCCACACTACATTACAAAAGAAACATTTCAAATAGCAATTTTCTTAATTCCTTTCTAGATACCAGATTTTGAAAATGAGTAACTCCATTTAATGTGAAAACGATTAAATAAATTTATTCAAATCAATATATATGGAGTTGTTACTTCTTATTTATAAAGGATTATTTTAATTATATCAATAATAATTAGATAATGTCATTATGTTATTACGGTATGGTATTTTGACTTTTAGATGTAGAATTACATCAATAATAATTATTGAATTAAGAGATATATTCTTATAAAAAATATAAAACTAAAAATGCTTAAAGATATTCTAAAGCTAAATAATTAAAAATAATGACATTATGAATTTATATTTTTAATATTTAGAATTTAAAATTTGTTAAAATGATGATTTATATATTAAATTTATTCAAATGATTTATAATTCATAGATATCAAATTTCTTTCGTGCTTCTTCCCAAATGATTAAATATTTTCCATCATTTATTAATTTTCCAAAAATAAATATTGTTGAATAATTCATCTCTGTAAGTACTTCTAATTTACCATCCTTTAATATTTTTATCAAGTAAACATTTAATTTATGTTTAATGATCATCAAATTCTATTCTTTGTTATAACAGATAGGAAATAAATTTACATCCATAATTTAATTATTTTCAATTAATTTTAAATCAACAATTTCATTAAATTGTTAGCCATTTTCCAATTATAAAATACTGATATAATTTTTTACTTCGTTTCTTGTTGCGAAAATTAGTTATTGATTATTTATAAAATACAACCTAGATCCAATGAATTGTATATTTTATGTAATTTAATTTTCAAATTACCATTTCTGTTTATTATCTTTCTTCCAAATTATTATTTAAAAGCAATCAGTAGAAACCAAAGTATTTTCAGATTAATTTAAACATAAACTATAAATACCATTTGTATGCTTATCCAATGAATATAAATAGTATAATTGATTCTATAAAAAATCAACTTTCCAAATTTTAATTGAATGATCTCTTCCTCCTGAAATAAGTTGATCTTCAGATTTATTTAAAATCAAACAATCTACGCAATCAGTATGTTATTTATAGAATTAGGAATTCTTCCATTCTTTATCATTTATTTAATTCCAACAACAGATTGATTTGTCAAAACCAGTTGATAGAAAACTATTGTTCTTTTTACTAAATTACAGACAAGTAATCGGGCCAGTGTGTAGGCTAAGAGTTGTAATTTCATTCAAAATTCCACGCACAAAATCCCATACTTTAATTTAACAACCAGATGCTGATATCATAAGTGAATCAGAAACATTAAATGAAATTGCATAACATTAATCTTCTTATTTAATTGATTCATCAAATAATTTCAGATGAGGGAAAAAATTTAAATTTGATAAAATTTTTTCGCATTATGAATATAAATCTTAGTTTTTAAGATTGGATATTTTGATATTAATTTTGGCACTCAGTGAATTATTAAGTAATTTAAGTTATTAAATAATTGATTCTAAATTAATGAGATTATCTTTGGGATTATTAATTAATAATTCTAATTCATCAAGAAAACTATATGATGAACTAGCTAACCCAATATTATTAAGGTTTTTAATCCAATCAATAGAATAAGATAACAATTCATCTAAATATTAATTAAGATCTGATTTTAATTTTTGAATTTGGTTGATCAATGATTCCACCATTTCCTAATTGGCTTTTATCAATTCTTAAATATTGTCTAATTTAGACTATTATTTTTCTTCAATCATTTTAAGTGTCTTCTTAAATCCAATTAATTTACTTTCTTATTCAAAATTTTCTAAACAATGTGCACACAAAAGACGTTCTCCCATCTTTATCTCTTTATCAAATTTAACCATGAGAATTGGTTAATTATGATTTTAACTGCAGTTAAGTTAATTTTCTAATTCTATCATTTTTGGTTAAAGCATAATTTATAATTTAATATTAAAAAAATGATTAAATTTTAATATTCACTTTGCTTTTAATTTAGGTAAAGAATATTATTATTATGAAATGACTTGTTATTTCTGTATTCACATCTCTAATTTATTGTCAACTTTAGAAAAATAGAACTTTTTATTCATGATTAAATTATGATGTCTCATAATCAAAGGAATCTAAATAGTTTAATAACTCCTATTAATTATCAAAAATATTGAGTCATTTTTACATCATTAATTGCTTCTATTTCATTCTCACTAAATTGAAGAATAAAGCAACCAAATTTATAGAAATATATTCACTTCAAAAATTAGTTACGGTTTCTTGTTGTAAATCTCATATTACATAACAATTATAAATATGTGATCATTAATTGACTTTAGATTAAAAAGATGTTTTCATCTGAATTACTAGGATTTGAGCAAAAATATTTATTAAAATTTAATCCAAAGACTAAGCATCTTTATCATTAATGATTTTTATATTAATTAGTCAGTTTAGCTATTCTATTTAATATTACTCTTTTAAAAGTGTTAAGATTGCATCACATTAAGTTGATCATATTGATTCTCTTGAAGTTTGGTTGAATATAAATTAGAAACAGGTAGTAATTTGAAGATTAGGAGGCAATTACATTTGTAGAGTATTTTAATATATATTTAATTAATTAATAGGATATTTGATAGTTAAACATTATATTTAATACATATTTGATATTTAATTAGAAATTACAACAAAATATTAATTTAATTTATTGATTGTTGCCATCTCATATCAATTGGAATTTACATCTTTAATATGGATATGTAGTAGAGATTATAATTCCAATAACAAATTTAAAGGTATGAATCAATATAACTAGAGTGATCAGTAAATGTTTAAACAATAGGTATAAGAATAAGTTTAATTTTCATGAAAGTAAAATGTAGTATCATTTTTAAATAATATAAGTTATAGAAAAAAACATATTCTTTTATAAGTTTTTCGTAATCTTTGAGGTTGGATTATATATTACCTATCAAAACTAATTATTTATTTATAACATCATAATTAAATTGAATTTTATGCATTTTCTAATTGATTTTAAGATTTATCGAATTTTTTTATATAAAAATATCAACTATGTAAAATTGTTATTATTAATGATAAATATCTAAAATTCTCAGTTTGACAAAATAGAGTATTTAGCTTTAAAAGAGATATATAATGGATTTGAGATAAGAGTAATATAAATTCCAATTGAAATTCATTATGTGAATTAAAATTAA